TTGAAAGTTTATTATTTGCGATTCGCAATTGATTTTGAATATTAAACTTTCATTCTTATAATTATTATTCACTTACCCTGCATATATTCGAAGTAATCATTAGACCTATTGTAATATATTACTTCATTCAATGTATCTGCTTAATCGCTAAATACCTCTTAAATTTTTAATTCGAAAATAAAAACGAGGTTTTAATAATTTATAGCATTGATTTAACAGATATGATTTGGTTTTGAATTTACACTATTTACTGAGAATGGGTATATATTTAAATTTGGGATGTTATCCCAAATGAAGTAGAAATTCTGATTTCCAAACTATGTAATAATGTCATAATTCAAAAAAAGGTTTGGATCGCGTCCCTACTTTTGACATAACGTGATGTAAATATTCACGTACAACTATCGCTTGCTTTATAAGTCTTTCAAGTGCAGATTCGTTCACTTGGCTATCAATAGCTAAGAAAAGTACATTATAGTTACCAAAATCAATAGTAAATCAACACCACATTCAAATAATAAATAAAGATCTATGAATTGGACCATTGTGTTACATACAGAGTATAGCACTATTGATTTCATCTGCCAACTTATCACGATGTTCCTGAGACAATAATGACGCAGACGGTGAATTTTCCGGATTCTCATATGCAATTAATGGGCTCACCTTCTCAAATTCATCACGATACTTTTGCTCATTTTCACCTCCAAGTGATGGATATTCTGCCAACACAGATCGAGCAAATGTTAAAGCCTCGTCGAAATTCCCAGAGCGCACGGTCTCTATAAATTGCTGTAATTGAAGTTTGAAGCACATCTCGGTAGAACGTGGTGTTGTTAGGAGATTACCTTCTTCGGTGGATACCACTTCCGGAAAGGAGGTTCGACATAACGATAAAGCAGAGGTAATATCACCTGATATTATAAACTCGCGTATCTCTATAACAAATTGGAACTATATAACAATCGTATGTATAAAACTCTAGTTGATAATGAAGGCTCGAGGCATTATACTTACGTTTTCGAATTTCCAAACTTTCTAAAGCAGATTCAGAGCAAAACTTATTATTAGAGTGTCGCTTGTTTCTCCATGCAGGTAAGTGAATAATAATTATAAGAATGAAAGTTTAATATTCAAAATCAATTGCGAATCGCAAATAATAAACTTTCAA